GTGTAAAATTAGTGAATAAATAATGAATTCAGTTTTCACACCAATTTAACACCTAGTTGCTTTGTCTTGCCAGTGTCATTACAAGCTGTAGCTACATAATAATAATGAGCATGAGCCACGATAATTACTATAACAACTTACAGTTCAATAAGTCATACATTTAACCATGTTTATTGTACTTTTTTCTGCACTAGTAGACTTTAAAAAAATATATTTTTCAGTATTAATATAACATTTGCACTGTAGAGGGTTGAATAAATCTATGATTCTTTGTACAAACTAATTACTAATGAAGTGTTTCATTTTGCTATTTATTTTATACAGCTCATATTCTTAAAGGAACAGTATGTAAGATTTAGATTAATTTATTTAAATTTCACTTTTGACATATCTGTGTAACCAGACATGAGGTAAACATGTTCAAATATTATTTACTCATAACATTTGTAATGATGATTATTTTCTTATAAAAACATTGGAGAGCCAAGGTGTTTATGCTGTGATTATCCAGTCAGAAGGCTGGACTAATGAATTTGGGTTGCTAGTTTAAACCTGAAATCTGAATCTTCAATACCTAAAACCCAGCATCTGCAGCCTATCAATACTAGTGCAGCCTCTGCAGCTCAGGGAGGGAATTCTGGCAGATGTGAGCTTTCACAGGAGCCATAGCCAGTTTATATACTGAGAAATGTCTATGTGTCCTCTATATGCAGGTTAAGACACTGGCAAACCAGTAGAGTAGACAGTTCCTTTAATGATAGTGAGAAGTTTAGATAAAATTCTGCTTTAAGTGTGTTGTGTTAGTAGCATATTATATTAATAATATGTTTAGCATCTATATTTTCTTCAACAATATGTTACACTTCTGTTATTATGACAGGCCTAGCTAGCACTTTTTCCTCACCCTTGTCTGCGTATGCTAATGAGCCTACAGATTGCATACAATGGTGATGGAGTCACATGGTAGAGGTAATCCAGCTCGGGTCTGAATCAGATCCTAAGCTCTGCAGTCCGATTAGTACAGGAGAAGTACAGGGTGAGTGTAAGTACCAGGGCTTTCCCATTGCCTATAGCTTCAGATTCTTTGCATGTATTACCTTTAGCCTGTGTCCTCACATACCCCCACCAGGCCAGGAGGACACGGGGCTGCCTCAGGACAAACTTAAATGTATACAGTCTGGGGGGCATGTTAATAATTGGTTTTACTATCAGTGTGTGAACTTTAGCCTGTTTATTAAACTAGTCACCAGAGACATTCTTTCTTTAGAAATTAATATTGAGTATTTCACTGCAGAGCCTCAATCACTTGAGTTTTGTTTATTCATTAATGATTCTAAATTGTCTCTATGTACACTGGCAGGAGGCGCATTGATTTGGGGCATGACACAGAAAACAGCCTATTAGAGTATTGTTTGTGAGTTGTGTTGTTAAACTTTGGCTCTTAAAGGTGACATATTTTGTACAATCAATTTTTCATTTGAGGCTTGAATGCTCAGAAAATCTCAGTTTTCTTACTCCCTATCTCCACCCACTATGTTGTTCTTACTTGCATGTTTTTGAAAACTTTGGACTCATGTAGAGATAGACTTATATATTGGTCATTTTTTAGCATATTGGCAATCACTTAAAATCTCCAGCACATGTTGATATTTTGTTTTGATTGATTTGCTTAAATATACCCATAAAACTGTATTTAAATACTTTAGTGCAAAGAGACAGCTGCACAAAATGTGAAAATACAGCTCTTGTTTAGGTTTGTAGCAAAAAAGAGCTGTAGGTGAGTTTAAAGTGCATTTAAATAACAGAATTTGGGGAAAATTATTAAAAACAGCTCTACATATCAACTCAAAAATATCTTGAGGGTTTATCGGCCATCTGTTGCTCTAGATTCTAAACAAACAGTATTGGCACTGGCCATGAAAAACTCCAAATTGATTGATCTCAAGTGTTATATACTGTATGTTGAGTACAAAAATGTTGCATTGTAAAAATAATGAACTTTGATATAGTGAAATGCTAAGTACCTGAAAAAAAATGTCTTCTTTATCTTAACTTAATTGTGAGTGGTCTGATTGATATGCCTTGTGGAAGTGCCTTATTGATACCTTGCACTGACAACACGCTATGGGGTGTTTTGCATGTATCTATGGCGGAATGTTCAGAAGTTAGGAACTTGTGATCGATATTAGCATTCATGGTCCTGTTAAGGTATTGTTTCCCAAAGACTGGGTCGTAAGAGATCAGTTTTGGGTCGCTTTGTCACGATCTGCCTGTAGGTCTGCAATATACAGTTCTGCCTATACATCTGATATGCGTGTTGTGCTCTTCTCCAGCACCCCGGACTGGAACGTACTATAAAAACTCAGACAGGCCCTCCTATCTCATTAGAAATGTTGAAATATTCAGACATGTTTTGTATAATTTCTAATCTTTTTGTAGTTATTTTATTGACTATTTTGTTCCAATATTGCTGGTTCAACTGAATGTTGAAAAGAAAAACAAATGGGCTACATTTAACGTCCAAATTGGCAACTTATGGATACCTTTTATTGCTGGTTCAAACTTAATAGTAATATTAATTGTTCAGAGAGTCACGATCACTCAGTCAACAATAACATACCCTCATTAATGTTCAATAATGGTCAAATCCACCTTTATTTTGTGTCTTACGAATAATGTCTATTGACTTGGGGCGTGAAGGTTTGTGACTTTTAAAATATGGGTCCCCAGAAAAAAAGTTTTGGAAACACTGTGTTAAGGACTTTGATTTTTAACAAAAATGTGAGAGTGACTAATTGAAAAAACTGTTGGCTAATGCTAGCTTATGAGTGTAATATTCTTTGAGAGAGACTTATTTATAGCAAAAATTAGGGCCCTACTGTAGTTCCAGCAAAGTCAGTTCTCTATGGTCAGATCAGTGTTGTGTTAAATTAAAGCTCAGACTAAAGTCTAACTTGAGTATCAGAGCTTCAGAAGCAGAACATACAGTTAGCCTCACCCCTCCAGGGAACGCTGATGACATTAGCTGCAAAGTATAAATAAGCAGAAGGAAGCTAAATCAAGTCCCACTTCAGAGCATTGTATCCCAAACAACTGTCCAAATGAGAAAAGATAGCAGGGGAGCCTTTGTACTGTAAATTATGAAGTTGTGTTTATTGCATCTATAAACATACACAAAGGACAAAATACTGCCCGTGTGTACCTTTGTGTTCCTTGATATATTAGTTGTCCGCTGTCCGTTGGCTCACCCGGCGAGCACGTGTGTGCACGTTGTGCAGTTACTATGCCCCACTAGCTAACTCCCATGCCTCCCGCGTTAAAAATAGAGCATCCATCTTGTCTTGAGCCCACCGATGTGCATAATTATGAGTCTTTGTGCTCCTCACATGCATGGCCAGTGATCCCATTACCTCCATGGAAACCAAAAAGGCCTACGAGACAGTGTCCACAGTAAAATGAATGCGTTGCTCATAGCCTCTGATAATGGTTTCTATTTGTGAGCGTGTTTTTCTATCACGCCGTCCATATTGTGTCTGTGGAGAATCACGTTGAGGCCTAAAGTGACAGCGATCAAAGTCGAAGTCTCAGGAGTGGGGGTAGATGCTATGAATGGGATAATCAACATGGAACATCTTCTCAGGGATCTATTGTAAAAATGCAACTGTATTTTCTACGCGGCGTCTAAATATAGGTCTAAAATGGACCGCCGAAGAGGTAGAAAACATTTTAGCGTGGTACAGTTTGTGCGTAGGTATACAGGAGACTAATGGCATGACGTGAGGTGGCAAAAGATTCAAAGTTGTTTTTCAGACTTATTTTTACTTTGATGTGGTTTTAGATCAGATAGACTGGCAGTTTAAAGGCAGACATGTCATTTCTTAAGTTGTCTCTTCAATAGTTTCCAAAGATTTGTTATGGCCTGTAGAGTATGGGCAGAGTGAGGTGCAATCATAGACTGTATAAAGAAGTGGACTAAGGGAGCATTCGGCTCCAGTCAAATGAAGCTCACGCTAACAGTTATAGGGGTGAATTTGGAGCCAGTTCCATATTAGGAATAGAGATTTATTTACAGACAAAATCATGAAATAAAAACACTGTTACAGAGAGAGGGGTGACAGTTTTTCATTGTAAAGTCAATTGGAAACAGAACTGATGGAGCCAGAAGGGACCCAATGAACACTAGAACCCATTAGCTAGGTCCATTTCTATAGGTGCAATGAATGGAATAATCTTAACCTAAAAAAACAGGCTATGGCAGCGACAGTACAGTTGTCAGCAAGGGGATAAGGAAATCTTAAATGCATAGAATTTATGGTGAATAGAAGGATCTGAAAGAGCTGATAGTTCTGCTGCTCCGGTGGAGTCAGGTTCAAGGGTGAGGGGCAAAGATGGCAGGCTGTGATTGGCTGACACAAACCAAGAGGGGAAAAGATACAGCCCTGTTCAACTCTCTTAAAATGTTGTCCCTTAAAGGCACACCATGTAACTTCTCTAACGGTGTGTCCTGCTTGTCTTCATGGAGATGGGAAATTACTTTGTCTGGAATGTCCCACAATATGGCATTAAACTCCAAGTACACAAGAAGGTGATGGCTCCAGGTCAAGTTATGTGTCAGGTCTGTGGAAACCCTCTCAAAGAACACATGTATCACAAGGCATTCTTTATATTTTGACATTTCCATGATTCCCCCACTAGAAAAAAGTTACATTTAAATTCTCAGTCTGGACATTTTAAATTCTCAGTCTGGAGATTTTAGCAACAATTAGAAATAGAATTTATGTTGCAGTTTTATCAGCAAGACTATTGCCTCAAAGTTGAGAAAAAAAGCTTGCTTATAACTGAACAAACTAACCCCATAAAATCAACTGAATATAAATTCCAAAACTGAGTAGGCTATGCTTCTATTTACCAGTGATAAATCAGCCTTCTCAAATGTGGTTTCTCACTTTGTTTTGTTTTGGTCACTCTATTTGACATTGCAAACTTGTCTTTCTTTACAGGAGAACCACTGCAGGAGGATCAAAATCTTGGGCGACTGTTACTACTGCGTATCTGGATTGACCCAACCCAAAACGGACCACGCTCACTGCTGTGTGGAGATGGGGCTGGACATGATAGACACCATAACGTAAGAAATTTTAAACCAAGATTGCCAGAGAAACTAGACAAAAAAAGAACAAAACAAAACAAACAAACAAACAAACAAAAACAAAAAAACGCCAGTCAAACAAGATGGAAAATTACCCAAAACAAGTGACCCCAGATCCCAAAAAATAATTATGTGGCTTGGGAAACATCTTTTCAAAGTCATGTGTATTAATATCAAATTGTGCTAGCTCATTTGATATCCTCACAAGAGAGTATTTTAAAGTAGGACAATCTGCAGCCGGAATTGCCATGTGTGCTGTTATTGCCATCTGACACTGAACATTTGAAGGAGCTGATCAACAGAAGGCTCACAGACATGCAGAATTTCCACTATTCATTTCTATGACCAATAAAATCAACTCATATTTGTATTAGAAGTTACTTAAAGGCACACTGTGTAACTTTTCTGGTGTATGAGCCACTTGCTTGTCTCTATGGAGATTTTATTGCTTTGCCTGGAATATTTTGCAATGTGGTATTAAAGCTATAGTGATGAGCTATAAGTGCCCAGGTCAGATCTGTGGAGGGACAAGCCAATTTTCTGTAACAATGCACTGTTTTTCAAGGTATTTTGCTAGCAATAAACACACCTGAGGAAACACAAGATATGTAAGCTTAATGTGGAACTTCTATGCAAAATAGTAACATCTCCTTAGAGACAAGCAAGTGGCTGACCCCCCACTAGTTAAGTTACATAGTGTACCTTTAAATATACAAGAAAATATACAATTTATTTAGTTACATCTGAGACATACAAATTTTGAACTTCTAACTACCTGTAGACTATACAATATTCCCATGGTCATGGAAATCCTGGAAATCCTGGGAATTGAAAATGTCATTTTCCAGGTCTGGAAAAGTCATGGAATTTTAGTATCTCTTTCACGCAACTGCAGCGTTCTGTTAAGTTCCCGTTAGACTATTATGATTATTTCCGAACGTCTGCACCTTTTGTTTACAAGAGACAACAATAAATGCATTGACAGTATTTTGAATGTTGCAAACCTATTATACCATAAGGTGAGTGGAAAGGGTTACCATTTCATATTTAGCCCTAAAAGTATGCTCAATCCTTGTAGGGTGCTGTGAAGTAATGGAAAATTAATTTTAGGTCATGAAAAAGTCATGGAAAAGTTTTGAAATATTGTCAATGAAAAAGAGTGGGAACCCTAACTATACAAATGTGTCAAGATATGACCTCTTTTTTTATTTTTTCAGTGTTTCTGTTGTTATAATTAGCTTTTTTTGTTTGGTTTGGCCTGTAAGGAAGACAATGAAGTCTAAAGAAATGCTCCATTATCGCTAAATCCAATATCCAAATATATTAAGGCCATTAAAAATATGTATTATTCTTATTATTTTGTATTTGTTGCACAGGTCAGTTGCTGAGGCAACAGAGGTGAACCTGAACATGCGGGTGGGGCTGCACACGGGCCGGGTGCTGTGCGGGGTGCTGGGATTGAGGAAGTGGCAGTACGATGTGTGGTCCAATGACGTGACACTGGCCAATGTGATGGAGGCAGGAGGTCTCCCCGGGTCAGTACACAGCATGACAGCTATACCGCCATCTTGGAACTGTTGGGATTCTAGTAGGTTCATCAATAATCAATATTCAGGTCACAGTACAAAGTGGCTGTTGTTGGTCCAAAACATCTCATAATATTGGGCTTTAATTATACAATCATAACACATATTTTTTTAGTTTTGGGTGTTTTACTTGTGCCTGTGGAAAGATTTGTTTTGCAGTGTAGTAAATGGTCACATTTTTGGTCATGTTTTAGTGCTTTTCCACCTTCAAGGCACTCAAAACACTTTACATCAAGAGTGGTTCACTCACCCATTCACACACATATATATACCTAAGGAGTAAGAAAGCTTTCAGAAATATTTATGTGCTTAGAATAGAAATCCGTGTATATTTGGCTGTAGTTGAGCATAAAATAAATATGCGTAAACTCTAGACCTGGTTTAGACCTGGTTTAGACCTGGTTTAGACCTGGTTTAGTCCTGGTTTAGTCCTGATTCAGTCCATATGCGCCGCAAAAGTCCGGCATCTCGATCAATGTTTCTTCTGCTCAATAAATAATGCCTGTGAAGTGATGACGTATTTTTGACAGTAGAGCCCCGTCTGTGAATTCGTATTCACAGATGCGGACATACATTTTCATTTTGTGATTGTAATTCTCGATATCGTAACTTTTCGTTTTCTGATGGATAAAACACATAATACATTTTATGTACAACTGGGCTCATTTGTGAGTTTACGAATATTTATTTTATGCTCAACTACAGCCAAATATGCACGGATTTCTATCCAATGCACATGAATATTTCTGAAAGCTTTACATACACTAGTGTACACAGACACTGGGGGTGAGGTAGGCTTAGTATTTTGCCCCAAGGACACAACAACAGGATTCTGGGAGCTGGAATCACACTGCTGGCCTGCAACCTTCAGATCGGTGGAAAACACCTATAACTGAGCTAGTGTGGCCCGTATCCCGTATAAAAATCACTCACTCAAGCAAATACAATACATTCTAAGGTAAAAGTGCTCAGGGCTCATATGGTTTTATAATGGATATTGATCTGCATGTAATTAAATTCAAAGTATAGTTATTAGTATTCAGAACTGAAAAGGCTGGATTGGTGCATCTAATAACTGTACCTTATTCTTATTGACTCCTGGTTAAAATGTGAATACTTATAAGACCAGATGATTGATCCAAGCTCATATTTAATATAAACTTTCATTGGTGTATTTCAAATCAAATCAAACTTCATTTATAAATCGCTTTTCATACAAAAATGTAATACAAAGGGCTTTACAGTCATTAAAAAAACAATCTCACATGCCCTTCCCTGCACAACCATACAAGTCACATGCAAAGTCTCATACACATACACAAACACACAAATACGCTTACACACTAAAATATATAAGGCTAGTTCTGCATAAATGATGCTGAATACAGACAAATTGAGGAAGAATCATCATAGGAACTGTCTAAATGTCTTTTTTTTTTCTTTTTTTGTGAAAACTTCTTAAGATTAACCTCTAACTCACAGGATCCTACATTTTGAAAGCACTAGGTTGGCGACCGAAATTCTTGCATACTATATTTTGTAGAGACAGCTGATGGAGATGTAAGTTACGTTATTCACACCAAAACAAAAAGGGATCTATCTATTGAAACTGCAGTGGCATGATGCTTGGGGTGTTCTACATGTATGTGTATAGTGGAATGTTTAGGAGTTACCGTGGTGAAACACATACACACACATTAGCAAACACTGCCGAAATGTTTTAAGATCATCTAAAAACTCAAGAAAAAATACTAAATGGATTTAAACAAGACATTTTCAGGAGCCTGTGATCAATACGGGCGTTCGTGGTCATGTTTAGGTGTTTCATTTTCAACAAAAAGGTGAGAGTGACTGAAACTGAAAAACTGTTGGCTAAAGTTATATGAGATGAACTTGTTTAACCGGACAAATCATCTCAACTGTGGACAGATTGTGTTAAAACAAACCTCAGATTAACATTATTAAAGTAACAGAGCTTCAGACAGAACATGCCTACAGTTAGCATCACACCCCAGGGAATGACATCAGCTGCATATGATAAATTCCACTTTTGTATGTTATGTTGACCTTTTTTGATGCAATCCATTATTATAGAAAAGTCCACATCACCAGAACCACGCTGGAGTGCCTAAACGGAGATTACGAAGTGGAACCTGGAAACGGACATGAAAGGAACGCCTTCCTCCAAAAACATGAGATCGAGACATTCTTTATAGTGCCATCTCACCGAAGGAAGGTACACCAGCATAAATATTATCCATATGTACCCCTTCATTTATATAATCATGGTTAAGTAAGTAACAGTCAATGGACATGCTACTTCCAGCTAACCCACAATACCTTAATTCTGATTGAATGCATGTCTATAGAATTACCAATGAGATATGTGTAAATTTGAATAAGCCATTTATAATAATATGAATTTTCCAGCAGTAGTTTTCTTCTAAAACAACATATATGACATGACAAATGCACATATGAAATATTTTTTTTTTTTTAAAAAAGACATAGTGCATTTTTGCAATTAGTAAAAAAATAACATACAAAGATAAAACTGTATATTGTATATTATAACAGGACCAGTGAAATCCATTTAAAAGCTGTAGAACTGATTATCTGCTGCTGCCCTTTCCTTTTTATAGTGACATTTGACTATAACAAGTATGTTTTTAATTGCAAATTTTTATTTCAATCAATAGTATATAGAGCAGTGGCACAAACTACATTTCTCATAATATGTCTCCTTTAAGTGTTGACTAGACCTGTCACGATAACAGATTTGAGATGCGATATTGTTGACGTAAACACCGACGATAATCAGTAATATTAAAACATTTATACTACTTACATGGATTATCCACAAAAAAAAAAAGAAACTTCTAAATTTTTAAAATGTATGAGCTACAATAAATTAACAGCGGAATTAAACACAATGAATGTGTATCTATTGTACTGCAACAAAAATAACCAGAAAGTTCTCACTACTACAAATAAAAGTACTGACTATAAATACTGACCCCCCAAAAAGATTGTTCTATCTATCATGTATAGAATGACAAGTTAATATAGTACCTGCTATTTTGCCACCTATTTTGAATTCTTTATTACCATTTATATTTTTGCTAGGGATGTAACAATAACCCAAATATTGTGATATCGTATCGTCAAAGCTCTCACAATATATCGAATTACAAGTCTCTTTGCTTAAATTAAGAGTTATGGTGCAGCAAAAAGACAGAGTGAACTACATAGACCATGATCCTTTGCTCTATTTTAATGTAGACTAGAAGAATAAATAATAGTTCTAAGCAATTTTAAGTCTTAGTTCTTTGGATTAAGTCTTGTCAAGGACTTTGTCAAGGACATTTTAGGTTCATACCGTAACAATATCGTATTGTGAGACTTGGATATTGTTACACCCCTAATTTTTCGTCTTTGTTATTATAATATATTGTGACGTGTGAGCTACTGTGTCCAAATAATTTCCCTTGTGGCTCAATAAAGTTTTTCTACAGTAAATCTAAGTCTATCGTGACAGGCCTAGTGTTGACTTCTGAACACAATATAGTACGAAATAATTTGAACTAATTTCTTGCTGAGAATAGTCACCTCCGGGCTTGGTTGGAATGAAGCTCTAAGACAGACAGAATAAACAAACAACCAACCCTTCAGGGCATAGAAGTGTGCACTATTTAACTGATCCACAGATGCCCTCCCTACATATACAACTTCAGAGCTCCTCAGCATACATCTCACGGACAGATGCGCCACCACAGCTGGAAGGGAATTTCAGTCTTGTGCCGACGCTATACTAGTAGTCTCTTATGCTGCGCTTGGTCCCTTTAGCTTTCTGTTACGTAACATCCTGTGCATATAGAAGCACCAGTCGCACTTATTAAAACCTGTAACATCTCAGTGTTTTTGATAAGTCTTGCCTAATCCTCTTAATGGTGCTGATGGTTAGGCATCATCAAAGGCACGGCTCAGAGAAGCTAAGCTAAGCTGCATAGGGCCTCTCTGCACTTCACTAGTGGCTTTAATTACTCCTGCCTAGGGACTGTTTCGCTCAACCTATACATGCAATATACCCCACCGCCATAAGCTCAAGTCCCTGCTTCGATATTGTTGTAAGCTTGTATTTATTATCGCAATAAAGTTATAAATAAAACACATGCTTCTTAGCCTGGTCAGCCGCAACCATTCATTTTCTGCAAATAGTTGGACAAAAGTGGGCGGGCTTTATGCGGTGCCTTGGGTGAATTATTTACAAAAGTTTTTTATTAAGAATATTGTTTTGAAGATATGCAAAATTTGAAGATAAAGTAGATAATAACAGAATAAAAAATGCAAAAATAGCTGATTAAAAATGAAAATGGAAAAAAAGTCAATATCGCCCACCCATAGCTTATTTCTGATTAAATGTTGATGTATATTCTTTGTTGTAGTTCGTGAAATTGGCTCTAATTTCTTATTTTTTTAATCAGACTGGACTTTTTTTCATCAGACTGGAATTAAGAAAGGGTTTGGCTGGCCAGGCAATAGTCCAGCTGTTACAAAACAATAGCAAATCAGTTCTATATATAGACCACATTCTACTATACTTATTCACATTGGCGTTGCATGCGTGTACAGTAATATGTGTGCAATGGGTGTCTACTTCTGTAAGACCTTCTTCTTATACCCTTACATAATGCTACATGATCGTGTGTGGGGTATCATGACTTAATCCTTGTTTCTATCCGGTGACAGATATTCCCTGGATTGATTCTTTCGGACATAAAGCCCGCCAAAAAGATGAAGTTCAAAACTGTCTGCTACTTACTAGTGCAGCTTATGCACTGCAGGAAGATGTTCAAGGCTGAGATTCCCTTCTCCAATGTCATGAACTGCGAGGACGGGGATAAGGTACACCTGTGATACCTGTGTGTCGTATTGTTGTCTGTGTGTGTCCCTGTTGTCATTCATAATTCTTTCATAATACACACAAGCCAGTGACATTCTGCTTGTGAGAAAAAATGTTGCCCTGATTTTTGTCTGAAAGGTGCTTTGTTAGGATTATCCATCAATACAGAGTTCTGATGGTTTTGTTGTTGTAAAGGGGATGTAATATAATATGGTACTACATAAAAAAGTTGAAAAGAAAAGTACAAAAATACAAGAAGTAGCGATAAGTTCTAAAACGCAGTACGTCGTTATTAACAACAAAATTACATCTAAAATGCATGGACAATTTACGCACAAGGAAGGCATTTTTAGGGCCTTTTCTTTTCATTTGTTTGATCACACTGTCATTGTGTCTAAAGACATTTTATCCAACTTTCATATTGAGTCTAAATTAAGAAAATATGTTACATAAAAACATATCTTAATACTGATTATAGTCAATAATGAGAGCTGTCTATTCATGGGTTTCATCTTATTATTTGATGCCATTTTGAAGACAGCTGACCATTCAAGAGCTAAATTTTGTTTTGAATTGTTAATCGCTATGGCAACTGTCCTAACTGTTCATCATTCTGAAACCCACGTATTGAGAGAGAGGGTATACTTTTAGTGCAAGATACAGAATAACAGAGGAGACAGGAGAGTAGAGAGTGTGAATGGCATGTCTGTTGGCAGTGTGTGTCCCATGCTACAATAAACACATTAAATAGGCAAGATTCAGCATCTCCGGCCCACTGCACCACTGCACCCACAATAACACAGAGGAGGCAGGAAGAAAGAAACACAAGAAAAAAGAAATAAAAACAAGTAACTGCTACTACACTATAGATATAAAAATGAAAACACTAGAAATTACTTTGCATTTGTTGGTCCATTCGTTATGCTACAAAATTCAAGTTCAAGCCAAAAATGCATATAGTCAAATACAATTATTTAGGAGAGCTATACTTGTGTATAGTTGTACCATAACCTGTTAGTTCAGAAACCTATATTCTAGCTGTTTGACGCAGATATAGGGTGACCAGATGTCCCCATTTACCCAGGACAGTCCCAGTTTTGAGCCCTGTTTCCCCTTTCCCAGCAGATTTGTCCAAAACTATTGATCCGTCCCAGTTTTATATAAGAAATGTCCCAGGTGTCCCTATTTTTGACCAATCTGGTCCCTGCCAAGGGTAAAGAGAGGCATAAATTGTTATTTCGTTAGGTAAAATACAGAAAACTTGCTTATAAATGACCAAAACACAAAGAAAATGTGACTATACTCACACATGTTGGTCATGAATGGGCTGAGTGCATAACTATTTTCTTTAATTAAGCACCACAAACTAGGGGTGTCCCAGTTTTTGATTTTGAAGATCTGGTCACCCTGTGCAGATATATAATGTAACTTATACATTAAAGGGCCTGTATTATATATATTAGTACCTTGTAGCACTCTGTAGTAATTAGTAGGGTGCTCTGAATATGGTAAGTAAGGAATATCTGTGGACCACTGGACACTACTTTTGTTTTCGTATTTTTACGACAGTAAAAATCAGGTACAGCATCTTTAATTTGACTGCTATTTGCACTAGCTGATGTTTTCATACATTAGACATCGGACACTAGACACTGACGTCACTCATGTGGAATCACTTGCTACGCTAATTCCTCCCTTCATATGAAAAAATAAATGGTCAACTTCACAGACACCATCTAAACATAACTCCCCAGTTTACTAAAGCGAATGATTTTTAGCACAATAATTTAAATAATAAAATAAACAGTATACACAGACACTTTTTGTACTTGAGTGCCCAGAGCTTATAAAAGGTTGACACAGCACAGCAGGGTGCGCTCACTAATGAAGTTAAATGAGAAGAGAATGTGGTCATTTGAAAGTATAATGAAGCACATATCTTTAGTGTTGACTCATAGACTTTGTTTTACTAAGAAAATACTTTTGATTATTTCAAAAGTAGTTGTCAAATGCTTTATGTGACCTTGTGGAACCCTTGGATTTGAAGTTATATAGAATCACTCACTTTTTTAGTACAGGATACATACAGTACACACATTAACAAATTTGATCTGACAGAAGTAAGATGGCTCATGGACTCTGCATACTAGCTCATCTGAATTTTTTTTTACCTTATTGAATTATATAAACATATATCTAACCACTGTATGAATATAAGTATAAGTACATATTAATAAATTGATCGAAGTACAATATGTATGTGTAAACAATAGGATTCTGATTATTGAGGAGTTGTTTGTGTGTTTTGGTGTTTGTGTATGTTTTTGTCGGTGGGTATTTGTGCTTTTTGATCTTCTTCAGACAGCAGTAACATAGATAGCATCTAGTAGTGGTATGTGAGAATACATCTTACTAAATCTGACTAAAAGGTTAATAATAATAATGATACCTACACTCATATATAGGGCCTCTTTTTTATTTTTTTTATACACTTTTAATGCACTTCACAGGCTTGTTAAACTCTCTCAAAGCAAGGCTGCCCATGACCACTACCAGTCATTCATGCACACACCACTTTCATACTAGGCAATGTAGATGAAGTGTCATGCCTAAGGACACAATGACAGAACTTGGTCCTAGCAGAAATTGCTCCTATGACGTTTGGGTTGGGGCAAGGGCACTATTGGGGCGGGGGCACTGAGGCATTGTTATCCCAGGTTAGGCAAGGCAAGTAGGTCAGGTTTAATCTGTGTGTGTTTCATATTTGTGTTCATACACTTGTCTAGCTATGTCTGTGCATTTATGTCTTGACTTTAACATGCAATTTGAAAACACATATAAGTATAATCTTTATAAAGTATAAAATGTAACAAGTAGGATAAAAACTAACACTAACAAAAATCTAAATATCTCCTCTTCACCTGCTACTACTAACCACCGTCTGATCACCTGACCCTCCTGTCTCCCTGACTTGCTGCCATTTCTCCCATTAGAGGAGGGCCATGCGCACAGCTCCACAGAAACTACGGAACCGCTCCAACACGAACCAGGCCACGGTGACCCAGAGCAGCCCCCGCACCCGGGTCAACCGTTACATTGGGCGCCTAATCGAAGCCCGCCAGACTGAGTCCGATACCGCCGACCTCAACGTGCTCACGCTCATGTACAAGTGCTCCGATAGAGAGCACAGGGTGAGGAAAAACAAGCTGGATCAGATGAATATCATACACGTATAAAAAAGTAAATGTAGTAAAGTATTGTACATTTTTTATTATTGTGTAAGACCTGCTGAAAAGGCTGGGATTTGTTTTTACTTATTCATAGTCTGAGCCAAACAAAAATGCACAAATAATAACGGCTAGAAGAAAATTATCTTCTTATTATTAGATCTCAAAATCTGCACAAATCTTTTAACTTTTTTACATTTTAAAACAGGTAATTTAATACTTTTTACGTAGCTTTTTCATGTGATACTTTTAAAACTGAGTACTTCCTTCACCACTGCACAATATATACTCGAAGTACTAATTCTATTACTTACTTTTTGTCTCATAGTACCATCAAGTTCCTGATGAATACTTCACCAGCGCTGTGGTCGTCTCGCTGGTGCTGGCTGCCTTGTATGGCCTTGTCTATCTGCTGATCATTCCACAGTGAGTTCATATGAATACTGAACATTACTGTATATGTAAATAAGCAGTAATAAGCACTAAGTATAAAATGTGAATTATAAACCTGTCTGCAATATAAAAGCTATAGGATGTAATATTTTCACATTCACTTTATTGCAGGGTGTAAGGTCTGTAGTGCTTTTCTCAAAATATTGAAAAGGTGCAGTACATTAATGGTGCAGTACATTAATTAACATTTATTAGCATTTAAAGTGTTTTAATAAAGTAAGGTTTACAGTTTTGCAGGTCTAGGATCTAGGGACTGCAATGTGTCTCTCTTTTGCAAATTAAATGATACAAATGCCTGTTTCACCATCTCATATATCATCTTCCATGTTACTGATCCTCACCAATTAAGCATCTCCTTTTAATTCTCTTTTTTCCCTCTAGGGGCACCATAGTATTAGTTCTGCTGGTCTTCTGCATCTGTTTCCTAGTGGCTTGCATCATGTACCTGCACATAACCAAAGTCCAGGTAAGCTCACATCTCCCCCGCAGTGGTACCTATAGTAAAGACTGGTGCATTATAACTGACATGGCTCCTCTCTCAGTGTTTCCCAGGGTGCCTGACCATTCAGATTCGCACTGCCCTCTGTCTATTCATAGTGCTCTTAATCTACTCTGTGGCACAGGCGTGTGTGGTAAGTACATACATACACACATTGTATAGCCTTAATAAAGCATTAAAAAAAAACAAATTAAGGGGTTAGAAGTTAGGGTATTAAGCCTGAATCATTCTTAATTCATTTTTTTAAGGCCAATAAAGGTGCAGTTATTTTAAAGAGTTGCTTTTTTCCTATTTGGATATTTCTTATGGACATTAAGAATTATTTTAGGACTGCAAGATTCCCATTTGTTAGTTCTGACATTGCGCAGAGACTGAACACAGCATTTCTTTCCTTTAAACAAAAGTAAAATAAGACAAAACTGATCCAAATGTGTTATGTAGCTGTTACTTATCCCTTATGTAACTACAGAAAAACTTTGTGTAAAAGTTCAAACATTATAGGACTTTCTGAGCCACCCACAACTAGTAAATTGTTTTAGTAGATTATTAGAGATCAGCTGCATCAATATTAAGAAGACCTATCTAATATAATGCCATTCTCAATATCATTCATCTTAAATCAACATAATCTCTTTCTAACCAATGTCTCATGTCTTGTCTTTTTGTAGGTGGGCTGTATGCCGTGGTTGGTGGGCAGTGCCTACTCCAACAGCTCCATCGTGATTATCGACGTGAGCAGTGGCTCTAACCGTACCATGACCGAGCTGCCCTGTGACGGGGCTCGCTACGCCTTTCTCTCTTGTGTGGTGGGCACGCTCACCCTGGCGCTGTTCCTCAGGGTGTCATGGCTACCCAAGATGGCGCTCATGCTCCTCCTGGGCATCCTGTACATCACCGTGCTGGAGCTGAGCGGGTTTCGCAAGACGGAAGGGTAATGTTAACGGAAAAATATGCACGCTGTTATGATTAAAGCGATCAGTCAAGCTTTAGTTTAGACTCAGTGGTTCCATATAGAACATTTAAAAACAGACAAAGACAAACAGTAATAATAAGTCTATAGTTCATATAAACAGTTCTTCTAGTCCCTCCAGAATTCAAAGATGTACCTGACACTGCTCGGCTCAGGCATTATTAAAACATTTACATCTTAAAGTTCATTGTACCTGATTTTAATAGTATTAAAAAACATAATTTGTTCATTGGTAAACAGTTTGCAGTCATCCAAAGTTATTCCTCACTTATGTTATGCATTCTGAGCATCCTAATTATAGAAATAAATACTTGAAAATAAATCAAATACAAGACCTTTCAGCCTAAAAGCAAGAACCATATCAAGAGTATTAGCCCACTGGTTTGACCTCTGCTCAAGTCATCTAAAGTTCATGACTCAGAAGTAATTCATATTTTAGTAATTAAATGATGATCTGTGAGGGAAAATATATCTATCTTAAACATGGGAGATGGTGAGAAAGTTTTATATGGAAAAATTGGACTGTAGACTGTATGTGATCACAGAGTCTAGGAACAATACAGCAAGTATCATGTTCAGCTACCCAGGCTGAATGTACCACTATATTTCAAGTGAATGATAAAATATATAATGTTTTGTTTTAAGTGTGTTAAAACTACAAATAGGACTGTAAGAAATTTTCACAGTATGATACCCATGGCCAAAAATACCATGGCATGAAAGTAAGTAAGTGAAACAAGGAGCCTTCTGTGATTAGGTCTAGGCATAATCTGTGGCATGACTGATGTATGATGACAAAATATAATATACTCATGAACACAAACTATCAGAAGTGCCCCTGAGAAAAGACCCTATGCAATAAATGAGCTGCCAATACCGTCAGGAAGCCGTGGGAGTTGAAAGAGCCCATATTACTCTGTTATAATGTTGTTTCCTCATCACAATCATACCTGGAGTTGTGTTTTGTTTCATTCACACATATTTAACACACAAACCCACACAAAGTTCATCACTCAAAGAGAAGAAATCAGTTCAACCTTGTGATGTAATGTGGTAATACAGGATAATTTCAGCCCTGGAATTGGCAATCTGTAAGTAAAAGTTGTTACCCTGAAAACAAAGGTGGAACAAAGCATTTGGAACTTTGGAGATGTAGACAGACTCACAATAAAGAGTTACTCAGACATGTGTGAATGAAGCAAAACACAACTCCTTTTATGTTTTTGATGAGGTAACAGCATTATAACATGACTGAAGTTCACAATAGTCAGTTTACTATAACATATGACCTTTATTACCACTGTATACCACAATAGAGGTTATCATCCCATTCCAAAGAGTCTGGCACAGCTCTCCAAGAAAAGTCAAGTCAAAGTCAAAAATAGTCACAACAACTCTAGTTACTTTCTTACACTATCACACACACAGTTTGTATTCACAGTTGAATTCTAATCCCGTCAGGAGCTGAAACAATGATTGGCTGAGAAAGTTGGTGGTTCGTCAAAGAAAACCGCGACTGACTTGGCTATGCCTCGTGTACATACATTTGCAGGGTTTCTGGTGGGCCCACGCTCTCCCAGCAGACAGTCTCAGAAGCAACGCGTGTGTGCTCATTAGCTCAAATTGAATCCTGACAGGACAATGTGGGCACCATGATGGTGTCGTTATTGCACAGAGAGGAAATGTCAAGAGTGTTGGAAATAATATCATAATCTGGGTTTTCACAAATACTGGACTAAAGGGGATGTTGTGTTTTTGTCAGATACTGAATAAGTTGCAGTGGTGATTCAAAGGGAAGATTCGTGTGGAGGGTTCAAATACAGTGACTTGAAAATGGCAGATGTCTTGATATGTGGTCAGTGTCACAAAAATATGATCAAGTTCATCTTTAATAAATCACCAATTTTTACATACATGTAGAGTCCAACCCAGTCATTCTTAAATAATCTTAAATTAGGTTAAAATCATGTTAATGATTTGAAAAATAATGTTAATTCAGGACTAACAAGACTAAATACTACTGTATGTAACATTTCTGCAACCTGCTTGTCTCCATGGAGATGTTATATCCTTTAGCAGTTAAAGCTAAACAATAAATAAATACTATAAAGATAAGTTTAATGCCAAAGTGTGGTCTAACAAGATCTACCATTTAAACTTGAAATGAGATCAACTTAACTAGGTGTAAAACAGGACAATACCAGAAAGGCTGAATTCACACTTTTACTCAACATAACAAAAATAACTAAACTGATACATCTTTGGCATAAGTAAACTGAGTTTTACCCAGAACTAAACCAGGGCTTAATCAGGGCTAGTAAAAAACTAAATTAGATTTAAATCCTGGCTACAATAGAACTGAACCAGGTAAAAGTGAACGGCCCCTCATCAAGTCATCAAAATATAAATGAACTAAAACCATATTTTAAAATGATTTAACTATAAAGCATGGACTAACTGCAGAAAACTGCACAGACTCCCTTTTTAACTTCTTTTTTACTGTTTACAAATGACCCCTGCCCTCATTTAAATTTTCCATTTCAAATTCCAGCACATGCACGCACACCACCTGTACAGTCATTTAGCGTAACGTGAGTCTGGCCCCTGATTACGGCGTGTGGGGTCCGTCTGTGTGCAGTCTCTGTGTGGTCTTCTCCTCTGTACTGCTAATGCTAATGCTAATGCTGACTAGACCCTGCTCTGCTCCACAGTGGGGGGTCTTTCCACATCCGAGGCCTAGAGCCGCTCATGTCTCTGCTCCTCTTCGTCAGCGCCCTGGCCCTCCACTCCAGGCAGCTTGACCTCAAACTCCGCCTCGACTTCCTGTGGGCAGTGCAGGTGAGGAATCCCATGGCTTTACACTGATGGAAAAAATCATAACATCCAGAAAATGAGCTCAAATTTTTACTGAAATACTTGTAGTACCAATGCTAAGAGTTTGGATATTGTGCACAATTGACTCTTGTGAGCTTTAAGCCATGTTACAATGTTGTTACCTCATCAAAAACATACCCAGATTTAAGTTTTGTTTCTTTCACACATGTTAGAGTAACCCTTTATTATTGTCTGTCTACATCTCCAAAGACAAAATGCTCTGTTCCACCTTGTGATGTCACAAAGCAGTAGTTTTCGGGTTAACAGATCCTTTTTATTCAGTGGGGATTAGCAATTCCAGGGCTGAAATTTCAAATGATTCTAGTGTCTAAGTTTAAAAAAAATACAGTCGAGCACTTCCTGTGTTATCATATGACATCACAAGGTGGAAGAGTGTTTTCCATTTGAGAGAAGAACTCAGCCTAAATGTGCAGGATTTCTGGTATGTTTTTGATGAGGAAACATTATAACCAGACCAGAAAATAGAGTAATATGGGCCCTTTTACCAAAGAAGAAATACAAAGTAGTCCATGTAAGAGGGTCAGACTTCTAGTAGTGGGTAGGTAGAAAACAATTGTACTCAAAGTTGGAGTACTGATAAATAATATTACTCAAGTAGAAGTACAAATTAGTGGTCCAAGAGTATTTAGGGAAACTACTAGAGTAACTGTAAGAGTAACTGTAATGTACAGTTTTAAGTGAATGTGATTGTGAGGACAGAACCGTAAATAATGCACAAAAGCTGTTTTTTTTAGTACCACAATGATAAAAAACATCTAGAGAGACTGAAAAGCAGGATGCAAGAAATACAAATGTTCATATTATTTTATAGAGTCAACATTAAACCTTTTGTCACTAGCTCCCAGTGGGAAGAGTAACCAAGTAATAGTACTGTTACACTGTTTAAATATATTACTCAAGTAGGAGTAAAATTATGGTGTCGCACAGCTACTCTGAGAAGTAAAATCTTATCAGGAAAATGTATTCTGAGGAAGGAAGGAAATTCAATATTCGGCAACAGCAACAATGAAACAAACTAAATAATAATAAGTAAAAAAAAAATAAAAAATGTAAAAGTTTAAACTGTATGTAGTGGGTTTTGGTATTTACTGTTTGCCAGCTGCCTGTACTCTTGATCAAATACTGTAAAAAAAAGCAATGACGCAAAGCAAAATATATTTATCAAAACAGTATTGGATACAGATCTGTGGTAAAGTGAAAGGTCTGAAGTCATGCTAAGGAAATGTTGTGACCCCATGTGGTTAAAAAGTGAAACTATATTGTTTGTCTGGTTCTAAAACAGACTCATACTATTACAGTGTAGGGATGGGCTGTCACAATAAGCTACAATACAATACTGTACTAGAGCAAACAATGTGATGCTTAGGCAAGGCTCAAACCGGCTCCCATCTGGTTAGAGGGTGAACACATAACCGACTGCACCATAGTGTCCACGTGTAGCCACAAGAAGTGCAATACATTTCTTCAGAAAACAATAATACCGAATAGACAGAAATAGACAATAATCAATAAAAAGTGACTACTAGATATGAATATAGTATAGTATATAGTATAAAGTATATAGTATAGTATGTAAGATATACTAGATTATTCTATCAACAAATGTTACAAAGATTAGAAAAAAGTACCCTACCACAGTGCAAAAACAATCAATATTTAACCAAAGAATATTGTGTATCCTTTATTTACTGAGTGAAGAGTCAATATTAGCTGTAAGATTAACCACAATCAAATGAAAATCACAATTTTCATGGATGGAATTGGCAAATCGTAGTAGCATTAAAACTGTATGTTGTTACTAAACCCTGTTAAACCTTGTAGACAAAAGAAGACAAAGTTAATGTTTTTGGATATGTCTGAAATGTGATTTTTGTCTTAATTTGACAGGTCATTTCAGTCTTTTTGTCAATTCTTCTGGACACATTTAAAATCTGAGCTTTGAACAAAATCATATTATTAAAACAAAAACGGCAAATCTAATCTCAATCACAATGCTTATCAGAAAAATTAGATATTGTTCTAAAATCATGCAGCCTAGATGGTATAGTGATTATCTCCATGAATATTGTAGTAGTAGTAGTTTATTCTGTCATTTGCAGCACTACAAGGACAAGGACTACAACCCGACTTTTATCATGGCATGACAAAAAAGGGTTTAGGCTGAAGTAAAAAGTACGTATAATGCCTAACCCTGTAAATTATAATACTGTATTAAATTTAAACATGATTTCAGGCAGAGGAGGAGAGAGACGGAATGGAGAAAGTCAAACTGGACAACCGCCGAATCCTTTTCAACCTTCTGCCCGCTCACGTGGCTCAGCACTTCCTCATGTCCAATCCCAGGAATATGGTAAGATCTCTGGCTCATTCAGCAACATTATTAAAAAAAAACCCACACATAGTCTCTTACTAAAAACTGCTACTGTGTGTACTTGTGAAGGACCTGTACTACCAGTCCTACGCACAAGTGGGCGTCCTCTTCGCCTCCATCCCCAACTTCAATGACTTCTACATTGAGTTGGATGGGAACAACATGGGAGTGGAATGCCTTCGACTGCTCAATGAGATCATCGCAGACTTTGATGAGGTACAAATAGAAGATAGTTTCTGGGAATTTGGGATAGTGTTACAGATTTGAAAGTTTGAGGGTTTTTTTTTACCTTTTCCCACAGCTCATGGACAAAGAGTGCTACAAAGATATAGAAAAGATCAAAACTATTGGCAGTACATACATGGCGGCAGTGGGGCTGGTGCCAACTATTGGAACAAAGGTTTGTAAGGTTTTTGAATGCATTTTTATTTTTTTTGTTTATGGCTGCAACTATTAATAGGAATAATGGTGACCAGTCATTGATATTTGTAATCATTATCTGAACAATACAAACTCTAAAACAGAAGCCAAAGAGTATGTTAGAACAGATAGCGGCATTTTTACATCAAAATCTTGTTACCAGATTTCTATCAATAATACACTTAATTTGTGAATATTGTCTGTCTAGAAGCGTTCACTCCATATTTCAACCTTTATTTTGTTCAAAATGTATTAAAAATAGTTTGACTAATAATCGCTGACTACTCAAATACATAACATAATTGTTAGTTGTAGCCCTAAGCACATTTTTATGTTTTTTAAGAAATTTATTTTTATTTCTTTAGGCTAAAAAGTCCGGGTACGACCATCTGAGCACAATCGCAGACTATGCCATCGAGATGTTTGACGTTCTGGATGAAATCAACTACCAGTCATACAATGAATTTGTTTTACGAGTTGGTACGTTTGATCTCAATCTCCACACTTGATTTTAATATCAAGGATAAGGATGAATACTTGTTCCTAATTAATTAATGATAACAATACTTATACAAAAACCTTTGGTACTTTCCATCACAAAATAATAGTAGTTTCTTTAATACTACCTTGTGGTCTTATATTAGTTCTGATTTTGTGCCATTTATGTGTATTTGTTTGTTTGTTGTTGTTTTTTTTCAGTATTGATAATTGTTCAAATGTTTTTTGACAGTTGTTTTATGATTGAACCAAGTATTTTGCATACCTTGAAGAGATTTTTTATGTCAGATGCCCTCCCTGTTCTCCCTCTATATTTATCCAGACTAGTTTTTCTCACAAAGACTTCATGCTCTATTTTAATAGTAGTCTTATCTATTCATACATAAATTCTTCGTACAAAAAGTTCAAGAATTCTTGATAATGATAATAGTGGTGCTTATCTGCAGGTATCAACGTGGGCCCGGTGGTTGCGGGTGTGATCGGTGCACGGCGTCCTCAGTACGACATCTGGGGGAATACAGTGAATGTGGCCAGTCGCATGGACAGCACTGGAGTACCTGGGAAAATACAGGTATTGTAGTACACACGATAATAGTACACAACTTGTAGTAAAGCAACAAAGTCTCTAGGAACTTTTGATTTTTGTGACCACTGACCCGTCATACCATTTACTATCATGAAGACCCTGTCACAGAAGATAAATGGCACCAAATTTTGTCCTTGAAGCTTGGAAGAGTGAAAAATTGCAGTTTGACAACAACTACTACTTTGTGATGGGTAAATGCACATACTGTAAGGTAAAGTGTGTCAGATATGATAAATGATTCTGAGACCTGCCATCGGGGGGTGCAAGAAGTCATCCACAACAGGGCATTTGTGGCATGGACACAGGAGTCACCCGTTTATTGTGGTCCTGTACATGTTCTGTAGTGACCAAGTTCACAAACAATAATCACTCAATGGTCACTTTGTTTAAGAAAGTAACAAAAACATTCTCTTGTAACAGAACACAAGAACAGAAGGCTGAGTTAAAAGTTGATTTGATTTTCTGTCAAAAGTTAACCTGTGGAGGTAGTAGTTTGTAGGAAGATTTATGTGATTCATGAAAAAAGTTGTTGCATTGTTGCTTCAGGGTTTGTGGTCCATATCATTTAGAGCAGAATTTAAAGGCTCATTCTGTAACTTTTTTGGTGGAGGGCTTTTCTCCATGGGCATATCTTTGCTTTGTCTGGAATGTTTCACAGTATGGTATTAAACCTTTCCATCTTCGTAGAAACCAAACTATATCAAGTTACACTTTACAGATCTGTAGAAAGGCAACCCTGCTCACAGTCAGAATGCCTCTATAAAACCACCTTTAATTTAATATATGTAAGATAGAGCAGTTTAATATTATATTGTGGAGCATTCCAGACAGTGCAATGACATATCCATAGAAACAAGCCGATGAGGGACTCCCAACCAGTGAAACTTTAATAAACTGTTGTTGTTTTTTTATGTATTACAATTATAAATCAATTAACAGAAAAAAAAAAAGTTTGTGAAACACTGCATTAGACATTGTAACATCCCTTGCTGCCTTTAAAAAATATGCCTCACTCTGTATTTCTTATTGCTTCCCTGCCTTGTACCTCCAGGTGACCGAGGACGTGAACCGCCTGCTCCACACCAACTACGACCTGGTGTGCCGTGGTAAGGTCAGCGTCAAGGGCAAAGGCGAGATGCTGACCTACTTCCTGGAGGGCAAGGTCCAGGGCATCGGCACGGCGACCACCTCCTCCGTCATGCGCTCGGCTAGCCTGGCCCGCCGCATACACTCCTGCGGCAAGACCAGCGTCCCCGCCAACCTGGGCAGCGTGTCCTCGGTGACCAGTCTTAGCGTGGTCAGCAACGCCCAGCTCAACCAGGCCAACAGCAGCAGCAATAGCCAATGTTTGGCCTCTCCGTGCGTGCCCGCGGTCAGGGAAGTCGTGGAGGAAGAAGACGCGGAAGTTACGGAAATCGAGATTGACGTGGTGCCCAGTGAAGCTGACCCGGTGGTTTAAAGAAGGTTAAAGACGTTAGTTGTGAAAACGAATGGAAAATAATGGAATCGCCAGGTTTGAACAGGCTATCCAGGTGATACTAACCAGTTTTACAATTCAGGATTACAAAGACAATCAAACTTGGATTAGCCCGAGATAGAAGGGTTTTGACATATCCAGGAATCTTGATTTGTACAGCGCATACTCTAAAGATATGTGCATTGATGTTGACTCAGATCACGCTATCTCGCTTTGCACTGTCTTTCTCTGATTATGCCAAGGATAACATTATCTACTACAGTATCAAAACTGGTGTTCTGTTGTGCATGCATGTGGGTGCGTGTGTGTGCATGTGTGTGACCAATACGACCAACAGCACAATATAATAATACTACTAATAATAATAATAATAATAGTAATCACTTTTTATATTGAGAGTTTTTGCAGTACTCTGATATAGTGCATGACTTTATACCAGTGGACAGCCATAGTTGTAAAGTAAACCAAAGTAATAACCACATGCATTTTCTTGGATTTTTCATTGCCTCACGACACTTTGTTCAAATCGTGTCTTTTTAACTACTAGTTTTTATTTATTTTTCTAGGGCCACATGGACATCACAAGGTGGGACTTAATTAAGGCAAGACACTAAATGAGGATTGTTATTCTTTATCCTTTTTTTTTGTAGTAATACCTTCAGGTACTTGCAGATACTACTACTAATATGTGCAACAATTTTTCTATCTCCAAAATAATGAATGACAGTTGTTTTACTCTATGTAACTTTTCTGATGGAGCGTCCACCAACTTTTTGACTCTATGGAAATGTTATTGCTTTGACTGTCCTTTAAAAAACATGCATTCTAACTCGCTTCTCCACAGATCTGACCTGTAATTTGGTCTGGAGGCACGACCTGCTTGTGGGACATTCCAGGTATAGCATTAACATCTGCACAGACAAGCTGTAAATGCTGTACCTTTACACTGATTTTCTAATTTACTGACCAAATTTGAAGGTGCACTGTGTAACTTTTCTGGTTGAGGGTCCACCATCTGCTTGTCTCCACAGTGATGCTATTGCTTTGCTTGGGATGTTCCACAGTATGTATGTACTAGTAAAAAATGTATCATGTATTTATTCAATTATGGGTGTTTTTATTTCTCAAAACTACCATAAAAACATGCATTATTATCAGGAGCGGGCCCACTTCTCCACAGATGTGACCTGTAACTTGGCCTGATGATTCCTGGAAAAAAACTACATGAAGTCAAGCTGGTGGTGAACCCTCTCCCAGAAAAGTTACACAGTGCATCTTTAAATTACATTATTTAATGTATTATTAATACATTATTCATGTTGAGGGCAATAATTATTATCTGATACTATTTCTAAGTGTCTTGCCTTAACAAAATTTCCAACATATTCAAAATTTAAAGTGAAATCCTCCCTTTAAGGTTGTCATTTGTATGGAATGTGTTTTATATATAATGAAATCAATGCCAAAACTGGACCAATGAGTACACAAGACCTGCCCATACTCAAATAACATGTACACTTTCAGCTAGTTTTCTTGTTTTTTGTCACATATATTCGCTTGAGCATGCCGTTGCTTCTAGGCCTCTTTTTGTCACCGTATATAGCTTTTTAACCGATCTGCAAATTGTAAATACGATACAAGTTATATGCCTTACTTAATAAGCTTACAGTGGTTGCGACCTGCCTTTTTAGATATCTTCACTTTGATATGTAGATCCTACTTTTTGTACATAGCCAAATGCTGTAAACTACTGTATGTTGTATCTTGTACAGTGTAAAGTTGGGTTATTTAATATTTTGTAATAAAGACAATATTGGTGTATAAAATATAATGGGTTTTCAGTTTAACGTTTTTGTGTTATTCAGTGCTTGGATAGAGTTAGAAGAAGTATGTAATGTGTTGTACAGTAAAGTTATTTTTACTTCTTAATAACATCATTGAAGTACACAAATACACAATGTTGTCATTACCCAAACAAAAACTTTACTACTATTACTACTACCACAACTACTACAACTGGCTATTGATGCTTCTGTCATTAAAACACAGCTTGCTACTATTTGGATCATAAAAAGTACTCTAAACAACTTCTAACACTACTGCCAGTACTACAGTTTGACCGCTACTCAAACAGCTGCTACCACTACCATGGCAATTATTATAATGATACCCTTGCCGGTTTTATCACTACTACCCATAGTACTTTTACAAGCACTACTCCCACAGGTACTACCACCACTGCTAGTATTACAACAATTACTACTACTACTAGAGTAACAGCTACTACGGTCACTACTACAAAAGTATTACCGGTGGAGGCAGGACGACGGCGCCATCTGCAGTCTGACTTCTTCAGGACAGCATCCCAGGTGTGTGAGAGTAAAAAAGCCCCCTTGTCCCCGTTTATAGTCCCATGGGATACTGTCCTGAAGAAGTCGGACTGTACATGGAGCTGCTGTCCTTCCTCCACTGGTGAGAGGACAGCACCAAAACTTGTATAAACTGGCTGACCAGACACGTCACAGCAACCACTCGGAGGAAAGCCGCTAGTGGACAGTTGAAACTGTCAGGTATGAACACAAACTAAACCTTGGTCTAAAAAAAAAAGCTATTAAAATAAATGATCAGAAGACCAAATTAACCTCTTTGGAATACTGTTTCTACAACTAAAATATTGACTCACATTTACAACAGCAATTACTGCCACTACGAGCTATTGCCATTTTTCCCTAAAATACAAGTTACTAACTACTACTATTACTACTATTAACAACCACAACAACAACAACTACTACTACTACTACTACTACTACTACTATAATAATTACTACTTCTTCTACTATTACAATTACTACTTCTTCTACTACTACTACTACTTCTACTATTAGAATTACTACTACTACAACTGCTACTACGTCTACAATTACAATTACTATCCAGGTGTGTGAAAAGAAAAAAACTACTACTACTACTACTACTACTACTACTACTACTACTACTACAACTACTACTAAATGGGCTCAGACAAAATGTATTTTAAGTAAATGAGATTGTGCATGTTACTTTCCATGTGTCTCAAGGGTATAATAATACATTTTACAGGCTGTTTCCTTGTTAGCCTCACTCTATAAAAGTAATTTCTCACACCTTATTTTATGGCTCAAAATAACACTTTTTAGTTCCATTATGTGAGGTAATGACAGATTTATGATGCCAGTAGTCAGTAGAGCTACACCATATGGGGCCGGGAGCACGTCTCTGTGTTGTTTCATTCAGTACTGCGGAATACTGCACATATTTTTGGCTTTTTCAGCCACTTCTGAAGGCAAAGGTTGAGGGTGTGCAATTCAAGTCTAGTTACATGTTTTATTGTGGAATGGATTTTTTGTTTTCATGCAGTCTTTCTTAAATGAATTATAATATCATCATTGTTTGTTATGGTCAGTACGCTTAAAACAAATGAGTAAGAGTACGAGTAGTGGTAAGGTTATTTTTGGAAGAAATATTTTTTTGGAGTTGTGGTAGTAGTAGTAGGAGTAGTAGTAGTAGTACTGAGAATAGTACTGGTAGTAGTGGTGGTAGTAGTGGTGGTGGTAGTTGTGTAGTAGGTGTAGTTGTAATAGTAGTAGTAGTGGTGGTAATAGAAGTAGTAGTAGTAGTTAGTAGTAGTAGTAGTAGTAGTAGTAGTAGTAGTAGTAGTAGTAGTAGTTGTTGTTGTTGTTGTTGTTGTAGTAGTATTTAGTGACTAAGCTTTTTTATTCTCACACTCACAATCTTTTACTCTCTGAGATATTGTCCTAAAGAAAAAGTAGTAGTAAAATTAATATTGGTAATATCAGGGCTTTGAGCAGTAGTAGTAAAAGTAGTGTTGGTAGTAGTAGGTGTAGTAGTAAAAGTAGTATTGGCAGTAGTAGGTGTAGAAGGAGTAGTAGTAAAAGTCATATTGGTAGTAGTAGGTGTAGGAGGAGTAGTAGTAAAAGTCATATTGGTAGTAGTAGGTGTAGGAGGAGTAGTAGTAAAAGTCATATTGGTAGTAGTAGGTGTAGGAGGAGTAGTACTAAAAGTCATATTGGTAGTGGAAGTGATGGTAGTTGATGAAGGAGTAGTAATAGTAACAGTACTATTGGTAGAAGCGATGGTACTAGGTGTACAAGTAGTACTACAAACAATAACAAAGCTGTAAACATAGTCCTCCTAGGGAGAGAAAATACATTTGTAGTAGTTTTAGTTTCGTCTCTGATACAACATAAATAATCAATATATTTTTTACAATCTGAATCTGTAATGAGTGAGCACTTGTGTTATTGCAGTACTATCATGTGGAGTGGAAAGGTTCAGCGTGCAGAGGGAACATGAGGTAACTGCGGGGGCGTGGGGTGAAAAACATTGTCCTGCTGATATCACGGGTCAATGGGGGAGGGAGGGGGCGGGAGAAGCAGGGCAGCCAGGGCTTCTTAACTGTCCAAGTGTAACAGTACAGGGTCAGCAGGAGAAAATTTGTTCACGCATCAGAATAGTGTTATAAAGCATCAAGGAGATGTATCATACTATTTTTAAAAATTAAAACTAGGTTACGCAGTCTGTTATCTTGCTGTTTTAAAAAAAGTTCAACAACCACAAATGAACTTAGGTTGCCAGTGCGTAGACCTGCGTATAGAAGACACATCTACGTTTTTCTCATTCACCATATATGGACAGGCCAGGCCTCATGTGAAACTCAGCATGTCCAGAATTCACAAACAACTTATCATTGTCATCATTTCCAGTGTTTTTCTAATTAATAAATCAACATTACATAGCTATATTTGATTTGAGCCTGTTTATCTCAAATCTGGGACATAGAGAGGACAGTTGACAGTTGGGCAAGATGCCTAAACAGCCTAATATTGTGACCGTAGAGGGTCTTGCCTAACGGTATCTGCTTGGCTCAAGTTGGAGGTTGAACTACGTATTTACACAAATGACTTATCAAAGCTTTCTCAGCAGCCATTGGTGACATCTGATCTGTCCCACTGATCAGATTCTGAACCACAAGCTGAGAATCACCAAATGCTTTAAAATAATATACATTTTAATAATATAAAATTTGAAGTTTGCTCTTCAGTAACAACAATAAAGCTTTTCTGATTTTGATAACGCACTATTATGGTGTTTTAAACTGCTTAAGGGATTTCGACATGGCAGGCAAGTATTTGAAATCTGAAGAGAAAAATTAGGGAGTACAGGACTAATTAAATAAAAATAGGATTACTGATAAGATGACATGGTTAAAAAAAAAAAAACATAAAAATTGACCCTTTAAAGTTATTCAAATTTGCACATTGAACATTTTAGTTGCTTCTTTTCTGTTTTGAGCTCTCAAGGCTGCCATATTACACACACCTGATTTGAGTGAGTAAACTATTAAAATCAGGCACAATTTGTCTGAAGTGAATTGGTGAAAACTGTCCCTTTGATAAATGGATTCTCAAAAAAATGTAAGTTTCACGTTTCTAGTTAAGCTGCACTTCAAAACAGCTCTTTGTAAGTCTGTGTGTGTAAACTGTTGACCCTTTTATGTTTTAATTGAACATGCTACACTTACTACAGCTGTGGCAACGCTTGGAGACCATCTGTGAAGATGAGGAATTTTCAGGACCAGAAATCTCTGAAGACGCTGAGCAAGAAGCAGAGATTGAAGAATTACAAGAAAGTAGTGATTTGGAGGAGGAAGCTGAACAGATATTGGACCAAGTAGAAGAAGAGAGAGAAGAAGAGGAGGAAGAGAAGGAGGAAGAGAAGGAGGAAGTCCAAACTCCTCCAAGTGTCCGCATCAGCAGCAGCTACCAAAAACGCTCTCTGTCAAGTCTATCCAGATCAAAATCCAGAGTTTATGACTTTCAGCCTGATGTGTCTCCACCAAAAGTGAGAAGAAAGAGGCGATCTACAAAGGTTAAATTCAAGGTATGAATTGAAATCATTTTTGCTTCCAAGTCATAAAGAGTGTGATTGTGCGTTATAGCATTTGGGCATGGTGCAAGAGTGGCTAAGTGGCTAGCACACTCACCTCACAGCAAGAAGGTTCTGGATTAGACATGTGGATTTCTGTGCAGTTTCTCTCCATATGTGGGTGGGTTTCTTCTGGGCACTTCACTTTCCCCCCATTAACCAAAAGCATACATGATAGGTAAAATCCTCCAGCTAAATTGGTCCTGACCAAGAGACTACCTAGACTAGCCCCCACTGCTCCCAACAGGTTGCCCCAGCGATGGATCAAATGCAAAGGACACGCTTCCCTGCAGTAGTGACACAGTGTACCTTAACCATGACCTTTTACTCCACTTAAATCTACACTTTAAGGTGATAAAAGATTAAATAGATTAGATTTTATTGTCATTGTGCAAAATACAACTAAACTTTGGAGCAAAACTGCAGTAGTATCTGAAGTCTTTAAACACTGAGCTCCAGGCCACTGTGCACAGTGGCCTGGAGTGGCAATATGCAAGATGGTACAATTTATAGATCTTATTCTAAATGTCAGTCATTTTGTTTTCTGAAAAGGTAAAATGGAATAAAAAATTAATATTTTTATACGTTTATGGCAAAGTGCAACAGTAAGTAAAGTATTGTCATGTTATTTTGTTGTGTAACTCCAGCAGATGTGTACAGATATGTTCTTTGTCTTGAGAGCCCTTGGTCAGTCAGGTTTTTTGGTATCTCCTCTGCAGGATCTGTTTCCTGATTGGGTGGTACAGCTGATGTTCAGTATTGAAGAGGCAACTCATCATGAGCTGGTGGTGGAGTAAAAAGGAAAGTGTGGATCAAAGCTATACATATAACATTCAAGTTATGTTTTAAAAGCTGATAAAAGCGAGCATGTGTATCCTCTCCAAAAATAAAATATAAGTTTGTTTATCACCTGTCTGTAGTCTCAACAAACATGGGCATGTGTCATGGCTGTGGAACTTTTATGGTGGAGGCTCTCCATAGATCTGAATCGTAACTTGCTTGTCTTTAAGGACATAAACACATTACAAGCAAAGAAATGACCTCTCCATGGAAATAAACAGGTGTCAGACAAGAAAAGTTACATAGTACTTTTACCACCAGAATAACACTAAATAACACTGAATAAAATTAGATCAAACATTATAATCAAAACTGTAGGAGCCTTAAAATACGACTTGTATGATCTATTATACAAGGCCATTGAGTAGTCTGTCCTTAAATGGTATAAGACTTACCACTATAAAAAATAAAGCTGGGGTCATGTTTCCAAGTCATGATTTAGAATGACCACAAATCTCCTGCTGCCACCAAGAGCCATGAAAATACTACACCAACCAGTTACTATAGACGCATCTCACTTTGGACAAACATGTTATGACCAGGCTGATCCATACAGCTGACCTTATGCAATGTTTGTGAGTCTGCCTGATAAGATTACACAAAAGCTATAACTTGGATCAAGTAGCCCCCCCAAAAAATCATTATTATCATGCCTGTCTTTACAGTATTCTTCCAAGTATTCTTCCAAAATGATAAGTATATTATCAATTTCAATTTTTATGTGGGGAAAGATTGTTTATTGTTTTTAAGGTGGCCGCGGTCGATCGGTGAGCTGAAAACACGCTTGTTTTGTACAATCACTTTATGTCCCAGAGTCAATATTGACCACAGACCCCATGAACCCGGATGTACGCATGCAAAATGGGGTCAGCCACTGTTCAAAGCAAAATATATTTTACACCTACAACTTGCTACATCAATCATTAACCCTTTGAGAAAGATGTGTCTATAAAAGCAGTGCAAGACTAACTGTATTCAAAAACTTTACAAGAATATTTTTGAAGAATAGTGAAAGTACCTGCAATGGATAACTTTTTTGTATTTTTGGCGGTCTTGAGTGCGGTGAGGTCGTCCCCCGTGATTGAACCAGAGCCAATTCGCTGTGCGCCGTGCTCCCAGGAGAAGCTGAGCCACTGCCCGCCGGTGCCAGCCGGGTGCGGACAGGTGCTGAGGGAGGCTGGGTGCGGCTGCTGTATGGCCTGTGCTCTGGAGAGGGGGGCGTCCTGCGGGGTCCACACGGCCCACTGTGGAGACGGGCTGCGCTGTACCCCCAGACCGGGAGAGGCCAGACCCCTGCACGCACTCACCAGGGGACAGGGGGTCTGCACACAGGACCTGGAGCAAGGTACAAGTTTGACTAGAAATGGATATACAAACTTTACTGGATAGAATTTGTGTAATACTTAAATTAAACTGTAATTTCTCCTTTTTTGTTGCACAAAACTGAAAAGATTTAGAATATATTTTGAAGTGAAAATTAAAAAATTAAAGGTGCAATATGTAACTTTGGTCTATGGATATGGTATTGCTTTGACTGAAATGTTCCTTGCAGTTTACCAAAAAAAAAGCCCTTCTAATAGTACTATCTACTTTCTCTAGAACAAACAGATACGGTTGACCATGAGTCTCTGCAGTACCGGCTGGGTCTGAACCTCCCTCTGGACCAGCCGGACACCGTGGAGGGCCAGGAGAGTATCAAGGCCAAGGTCAACGCCATCCGGAACAAGCTGCAGCAGCAGGTGGGTGCCGCGCGAACACTAACCAACATGGCGCCCGAACACAGAACAGGGATTTCCACAACAAGATATGTTTGGTAGACCGTGTGTCTTTATTCCATATTTGGGTTAAGACCAATGTCCCTCGTTCCACTGGTGTTATATACGAATTAGAAAAAGTGAGATTTAAGTACTTTATTTATTCATTTATTTATTTATTTTCATGAGAAGTAATGAAAACTTAGCCCTACACCCTACTTTATTCTAGTAGGGTGTAGGGCTACTAGCATAAACAATGTTGGCACCAATTGCTATTTAAATCTTTCTGTAAGTTACGACTGAAAACTAAAAATGATATTATTTACAGTTATTGTATATGAGCTTACATTTCCCGAGACTGTCCCTCCATGTCTCATCACATTCAACAATTCTCACTTTTTCTTCAATTTTAGTTCTTCACTCTTATTACTTAGCTACAGTGTTGTTCCACTAGATGGCGCACTTGCTGTGGGTTATATGCACTGGTTTGATTTTGTCGCATCTCCCTTTGCTCCAGGGCCCGTGTCACACTGAGCTGCACAGTGCGCTGGACACGATCGCAAACTCCCAGCAGACATTAGGGGAGAAGTTCACGACTTTTTACCTGCCCAACTGCGACAAACATGGGTTCTACAAGGCCAAGCAGGTAAGCTAAAGGCTAGTGAAGATAAGATAACATAACCTTTTATTCGTTCCATAATTGGGGAATTAGTGTTGCAACTCAAAATATAAGAAGAATAGAAGAATAAAAAAATAAGGAGTCAAAAATCAAGATAAAAATGCAGGCTACCTTAAAGACCGTATATATCACTACTAGTATTTCTGATCACTGTTATAATGTTGTTTCCACATCAGAATCTTACCTGGACTTGGGGTTTGTTTCATTCACACATGTTTAATGCCAAACTCTGCATATTTAGAGTATCTTTTCTCAAATAGAAACATCTCCACCTTATGATAAGGTAAAAGGTAGGTGTTAAACTGAAAACTACTATGACATGAAATCACAAGGTGGAACAGAGCATTTTGAGCTTTGGAGATGTAGAGAGACTAATAATAAAGGGTTACTAAAACGTGTGAATGAAACAAAACTCAACTCCAGGTATGTTTTTAATGAGGTAACAGCATTATAACATGGCTTAAAGCTCAGAAGAGTCAAGTTTGTGTAATATAGGACCTTTAACCAGCAGGCATTGATTCATACAGGGCTGCAAGATTCTGATACGATTCAGGGTTCAGACAGTTTTAACAGCAGCAAAATGTGTATTTCTCTTGCTTTAGCTGAATAAAATATAGGGATGTAATGATATCCAATTCTCTCTGTATGATATTATCACGATATGCATCTTACGGTACAATATTTATTGTGATATTGTGGAGAGGCTAATGGAATAGTAGATAGGACCCTTTTTTGCTTTTAAAATACATTGACAAGATTTTGGTGTGAATTATTACTGTCATCAAGAATTCAAGTAAATAACATTTCTTCATGTTGTCTGCACTGAAATGAATTTTGGGATATATATGTTTATTAGGTGCTGCTACTATAAAACCATGCATTTACCATGCAGAGGAACGATATATTGTGACGATACAATATCACTATATTTTGTTATTGTTACATCCCTAATAAAATATTATCTTTTTGTTTAAGCAACAGTATGTAACTTTCTGGAGGTAGTGCTTCACCTTACTGTCTAGGTGCAAACTTCAGTTTGTGGTTCAATGCACCTTTTGTAATTGACTGTAACTTAAAGCAAATAGAATTACTAGTACAAATTGTCCAGCAGTACAAAAGTCTAAAAAGCTTTGCGGCCCATATATTTTCATTTATTACCGAGGAATGTTTCTTTTCACTGTAATCATCAGAGAAAAGGCCAAATTATACTGACCAAAGTGAAATGTATTAGTACCACGAGCTTCAGAAGACTGTAACCCCAAATCACCTACTTCTTCTTAATAATACATGTTTTTTTTTCCCAGTGCGAGTCTTCTCTGGTTGGCCCCCCGGCACGCTGCTGGTGCGTCTCCTCCTGGAATGGGAAGAGGATCCCGGGTTCGTCTGACCTCCTCGGAGACTCGGACTGCCAACAGGAAATCACTGTTCTTTAGATCAACGCTGATGAACCCAATCACCCACACATTCCCTTTATGATTTTATGCACATGATGTATGCTTCCAGCTTTATTTATTCACTTCAGCCATTTGTCATTTTTAGATTTGTTTTATATGTTTGTCTATTTTTTAACATTGTAAATAGGGCGACACTGTATACATTTGTGTTTTCGTCTAAATAACTCCATCGCTCAAAACCGCAGGTCCGTGCCTCTTGCCAAGCCTAGTTCAGAATGTCCAGGATGCGTTTTTTTTTCTTTTTTCACATGTATTCATTCATTCACGAAACAACACAGCTGCTCATTCATTCAATCTGTTGACATTGTCTGAATGTATCTCCATTGGCGTTTCCTCAATGGCTACGGGGGAAATAGTTAAAGCGCCGCAGGTATGTGTACAGTGGCCCAGCACAAACATATCAGGGCTCATCCAGGCCGCGCTGAGGTCTGCCACGGGCTGCATTTGTCTACCTCCACTCACCTCTGCTCCTCCAGTCTGCAGCAGCTCACACATCATGCCTTATATGTGATTTTACTACTGCTATCGAATATTTATCATTCAAGTGTTATGTGTATCGTGATTTGACTGGTGTCTGTAAGTGGACAATGGACTACTGTGCCAATGCTACTTAACAAATGCTGCTGCTGTTTAATGTTGAGATGTTGTATTTATGATATTACTTGTGCATTATATTAAAACATTCTAACTGTTCAAAATTTGCCTCACTATCATCAAACATCATTACATTTATTCACAACTGAGATGTGCACCTATACTTTCCTCAGTGATCATTCAAAGGTTCTAATCACAACATGCAGCATGTGGATGATTTTCATATTGCCTTTATTAAGTAAAAATAGTCCTCTGGTGGTGGCATTTTACAACAGCATAAGTTAAAACTGATAGAACTATCTCACTGTGACTGAACAAAAAAAATCAGCTTAAACACATCATAGTCATTCTAATGGAAATGACCACAGTACAAAGAAGGGCAATGTGCTTGTATCTGTGGCTCAAAAAGCTTAATATACTCTGTGGTCTGAGCTGCACAGTTGCAAAAGGCAACTTGTTGAAAAATGAACTTTGAAAGAGAATATAGAGACATATGTTATTGCAATAATGCACATTCTCTGCTAAATGCATTCTTGATCACAAGTATACAAAGAGTGACTACACATCCCACTCTGTACACAGGCTTGTGCGTATTATCAGAGTCAATAATGATACTCATTAGAAAATAAAGTCCTCTTTGCCTGACGTAGAACACAAATAGCTTATTTAGAAGGTTAAGTCCTTGCAGAGAACAGCAGAGTATATCTGCGATGGGAGACATTTTCCTCTGCTCCTTCACTCTGCCTCAGAGACAAGGTCCCGCCGGCCGCTGGTCCAAAGAGCAAACATCCAGATATCGGCTGGAGCCATCTCATGACCTCTCTCCAATATCCTCAGTGTCTCTGTGTGTTTACAGTTCATGGTGCTGGCACTCCCTCCTCCTCCTGCCCGCTCCTACTGGCTCTCCGAGTTGTAATACTGGGCGTCTCCTGGCAAAGGCTGCCCGTATTTGTCCACAGCCCAACACAAGCCGCGCTTTCTGCCTTTGGACGGGCGGCACTGCAGCACAAGAGGAGAGACACAGAGAGGCGAGGGTTAAATCAGCTACAAAACTCAATGGAGCTGAGCACCAGTTAAGAGGCATTAATGGTGAGATTGTGCTGACTCCTGCCTATCCAGCATGCTGTGGTATTTGGAGCTGCTTTTATGGCGTACCACGTGTTGCACACACATATAGAGCCCTTTAAGGTAAACAGAAAGCTGCTAAAATATTTGCTTAGTGCCATTTGTGAACAACTCCAAACCCAGATTCTATTTTCAGAAGCTGGTGGCCAGTACGAATCATCTGTTACTGATTATACCCCACAGCTCCAAATTATGGGTACTACAAATGACTTACAGAGTCTGCAGAGCTACCCAAGGGCTGTTATTTTACTGCCAATTTTACTAAAGGTCAACCTCCACTCTAGTAAAACATGCAGCCATTCAATTTAAGCTAAGGCTGCTGTGCATTGGAGTCAGGGGCTAATCACTCTAGAAGTTGGTCGAATTTATCAGCATGGCCAACAGAGTCTAGAGACCCCCCATTACTGTCTATGTGCAGACTCGGTTTCAGTTTGTGGTTCATTGTACCTTTTGTAATTGACTGCGGTTGTAACTTTAAGCAAATAAAAATACTAGTACAAATTGTCCTGCAGGAAAAGTCCATTAAAGTACGATCTGTGCATGAAACCAGGCTTTGCGGTCCATATATTTTCACTTATTAACAAGGAATGTTTCTTTTCACTATAGCCATCAGACAAAAGGCCAAATTATACTGACCAAAGTGAAATGTCTACTCTTTTACTGCCCCAGGCCTCTACAAAGAACATTGGCCCCGTTCTACATAAACAGAGACACTTAAGCAGGAGGGAGTGCTAGTATGCAATCAGTGATAGGATGTAACTAAGAATATTGATTTTGACTAATTGCAGTACAGTAACTTCTCATTTGGCACTTTTCAGAATACAGTTACTTTCTTAAAATCAATGGAATACATGATGGTTTTTGATCACACAATTTAGGTTTCAAAATGCACAATATTAGTGGGAAAACATCAATCTTGTGGTATGTGCAAGTACATTTTTCCCTCTCTAATTAGTGATAAATGAATGAGAGCAAAGCAGTGAAAAAGTGTGGCTTTCTACACTATAAGATAATGTAACCTAATGTGAAACTACTGAGAATACGGTATTCTGACTGGACCAGATTGGAACAGAAAATGTTACAAAATACATTCTATTGCAAGTATTTAGTATTCTGTAACTAAATACATTTTCTAAGTTTTTCCCAACTACGACTACACAATTTATCGAATTGTAAACACAATCTTGAGTTGCTGCAATTATCAAAACACTAAGGCTGCAATTTAGATAATAGGATGTCCCACTTTTTTGTAGACCCCTACAAACATGTTACAGAAATACATGGGATTCTTGCATTAGTTTAGCTGTGCACATTTCCATTTTCTCTCAACTGTTAACACTCCTGAAGTTGTTTATAATGTGCACTCTGGATCCTACTTTTTAAATATATATCGCAAATCTAATTGTGATCGCAAAACTCGCCAGAAAAAATCGCAGTTAGATTTCCGTGTGGCTGTATTCCCAAACACTGTATGTAATAAGAAAAACTGCCTTTTAGCGATGCAGTGGCGCGGGAGCCCTAAATGCCTCCATATGAATGCTGCAGAAGCACTCATTTATTACAAACCAATGGTGGGTGAACCATGTAAGCGCGGGGACGACTGCCTGCTCTATTTCTATTTCCAAGTCCAGCAATTATGGGGCGAGCGCATTGGGTGCCGCGGCCACCTTGACGTCTGTCTCCCTGGGAGGGTTCCCGTTAGCTGGCCGAGCGTCGCAGCCCTGAGCAGCACTGGGGGTTTGGGCGCTGTGGTGGCCATCTCCATGGTAACGGCTACGAGTCGACCTCACTGGTGTGGCGGCGCGATGATGAGGCTCTAATAAGGAGCGGTGAGCGCACGAGGACAAGCACAACTGTGTAATTGGGGAAGCTCCAGGATACACTTGAGTAACACTGGAAAAAAGGGAAGTAGAGTGTAGTCTTCTCTGCATTCAGAAAAGACTGGAGTTTGGCTTATGGCTTGGAGCTACATAGTATTAAACAACTGAGATTAGGGCTTCATGATATTGCAATTTCAAATTGAGTTTTAAAAGTAGAATTTGGTTCAGAGTGCACATTTCAAACATTAACATTTGAGGAAATAATGAAACATGAACTGCCAAACTAATACAAGAATACATATTTTTATACTTTAAAGTAAAGTGCTATTGAGTAGTCTTCCTGTTGTGTTTCTAGGACTTTGACATTTTGCTTTCTTCACTTTGCGCTATAAATCAGAAAGCATGTAATAATTATTCTTATCAAAAAATATAATTCTAGAGTGGCCCTTCAAACTAACCCAAGAAGTGAAAAACTTAATTTTCATTCAAAACATTGTACATAGCATCTACTGTGAAACTGTGAAATAATAATCCTACACAACAGTCATAGAAATAGTTATTAGTTTCTATAAAAAGACATAATCACAAACCTGAAATGACACATGCATCAGAAAAATAAATAAATATGTTTGTGTGTGTTTTCAAAATGAGGCTATGCACATTTACAGGCCCAAATGAGCTGCATCATACTGTGCACTGGGTTGTAAACGTGTGCCCAGAGCCTGCTCTGAAAGAGTGCTTTACCTGCTTCCTCTTATAGAAGCCCTTCTTGTCACAGTTTGGTATGCGGAAACCTCTGGGGTTGAGATTGTCTGTAATCTTGAGGCTGCTGAGAATGCTCTCGATCTCCCTGCGACAGGGACCCTACACATGAGAGAAAGCAGACACGCTCACAGTCATTAGCAGCGTTTACTTAACACATCTCGTTTACACACTTGACATGCGGTCGGCTGGTGGCGTTCATTTAGCCGTGACAGGGCTAAACTGGCTGCTCTATAAGTGGACGTTAGCAAAGCTGACTCACGCTGCAGCACTTTGTGAAGCCTAAAACAATGGGATCTGCCACATGAAAGAGGAAAGATGAAAATGAATTCCTCTGACTCACTTCTAGAGGCTTAACAGTTCTACTAAAGCTGCTTAAGAGACTTACACTTGAAGCAAAGCCAACTGAAATGAAGCTCAAAGAAAAAGCCCACAGCCTGGGCCTTAACTCCACTTCTCCAGTCACTAATCAGAGCCGCAGTCACTCGTGTGTGCCCACTCCTTTGGACAAAGGCGGGTTGAAAATAGCAGCAGGACTTCCCAATATGCACTGCCAGGGGCCAGTCCATCAGTGCTGGCTCTAGGTACGGCCGGCATGCGGACGCCTTGTGGCCAAACAAGCGCCTGACCCGGTCAGCCGCAGGGCCATGGCACCACACGCCCTCATGCCATTCTAATGCTGCACCAGCACCACAGGCCCTCATGCCATTCCACTGCAGCACCCGCCTGTGCCAAGTGCCAGCACTACTGCCCCCAACATGTCACCAACACACAGAGCACAGCAGACACTTACATACTCAGGCTGCTGTTTGCTCTCCAGAGAGAAGTTCTGCTGGTCTGTGATGAGCCCTGTCACCACCTCTAATTTGAAGCTCTGCGTTCGCTTGTGCTGCTCCTGTCGTAACATCTCAGACTTGGCAGAAGAAAAGAAGGCGTGAAGCTGAGGTCCCATGGGTGCTAGGGGTCTGTGGGTGCTGTATGTGGTTTGGAGGCCTAAGCCTGTGGTATTCCTGTCTTCTTCTTGAGTCTCGATGGGTTCTGTCAAACAACAAGTGTTTATGGATGTTATTTTTTTAGTTTCCAGCAGATTAGAGGCCAAAGCTTTTGCACAGGCTTTTTAAACACTCTTTTATAGAAGATGAAAAGAGAATACCAACACCAAACACAAATCCAAATCTATCATTATTATTATAACATAACATATTTCCACTAAAAAAGTTCCCAAAAGACATTTTTGGACTTTGAATTTCTGCTTGTAAAGCATTTACTATGTTGCTACTTATGTTAGTTGAATGTTAACATTAAAAAAGATTCAGCATAGATATGCAAAAAAGTACTGTGCTGTTAGAAGATGAACTGTTGTAACAGTCAATGCAAATCTATTTTTCTTTTCTCTAATAACTCCCCCCGCAGGCACCTGCCCCACAGCCCTCTAGTCCCAGTGCATTGGCAGCGTACTCCTACCTGGCAGCTCGTTGACTGGGGGAGTGGGTCTGATGGTGAGCCGTTTGCTCGTGGCGTTGGCGCAGATGCCTCGTCCCTCCAGCAGAGCCTGCAGAGGTTTGGTCTCTCCGGGCTGGGGCTGGCAGCTCAGCCCTGTGCCGCACTTCCCCGAGTACACCCCGCACGGCTGCCCGAAGCTCAAAGCGCAGGTCATACAGCACCCGCAGCCCGGTTCCCGTATTTTCTCCGTGCAGTCCTTGGGCAGAGGTTTGCATAGGAGTCGAGCCACGGCATCGCATGGCTCACAGCGTATCACCGGTCCCACCGCACTTGACCTCCGCGTGAAGGATGCGAGAAAGGAAATCAGGAGGAGCGCGCAAAAGCAGTACGGCATGGTGGCGCACGAGAGTCTGTCCACGTGAAGAAAGTTGTCTGAGTCCGTTAGTGCGTGCTTCTCTGCAATTCACTTAAAGCCACTGGACACAACATGTGAATATATAGAGACGGTGAGTGTAGGCACACCCCCGAAAGCCTTGTGGTCGGCTCTGAGCTCACTGCACACATTGGTGAGCCACGACACGGACAGCTTCATTTAAGACCCGTTTTCAATTAGGGTTTGGGAATAATAGCTACTGCTATAAACCAGATCTCACTGTTTTCACCCAATTCATCAAAAAAAATATTTTCAATTAGTACAATGGGGCTAATTAACAGCCTATGTAATCAACAGGGGCGGAGCAAGCTAATGAGACATGTGGGTGATCTGGGGGACCAATTTCCAGTTTCATCATTAATTCATGTATCGTTTTTTTTTTTATTTTATTGCGAGTAATATACACATGTTAAGTCATGGTAAGTTATTTGCAACACTGCAGGGGACCTTGGTCACTGTCATACATGTAAAAGTAGGGCATTTGAACATGAGTTTAGGATGTTGCTTTGTGTAATATGAATGATCCCTCCCATAACCTTCCTCTGAGCTGATATTTGACAAATTTGAATCTTAACTTCTTTTTCAGCACCTAGGAGAGCAAACAGCTGTCACATGGGGCATCAGTGGTTTGAATCTGTCTGTAATAATAACAGCCTTGGAATGACTGGATCACCGCAACTTCAAACTGTAGAGTATCTAAAGCTTTAAAACAGTGGTTGTTCAATGGTCAAATATGTCACCATGTTTAACCAAATTACTTAAAAAAATAAAATAAAAAAATATGGGTTGTTGGTTTAACTCTAACTCTTGACTTCGAACTTCAAATGAACTGTCTGAAATGAATTATATGTATAGTGAGTGTGATGGTGTTATGTACTTTTGTGTGATTGCTGCTGTACTTTCCCCTGTCCTGCAGATGATTGGACTGAAGATGGAAATTAGCCACACTAACTATACTCTTTACATGTTTACATTTTAAATATTCATTATTATGTGCCGTCCCTTTACAAATAAATAAATAAATAAGACTAAGAAGGGTGAATGTGGGTATAGGTTGACATTATTACCTTATTTATATTTCCAAATTGTGTTGAAGTCAAAATAAGTCCACTGTTTTGTCTACATGTGGTTGTACAAAGTGTTTTCTTGTTTCATAATCAGGATGTGTGTGTTAGCATGCTAGTTGCACTGGTCTCCGTGAGCATGTGAAAAGTACTTTAAATCAAATTCATATTGCAGTGAATAATTAGGATGATCTGAATGCATAAGCGAGGATGAACTTTGGATAACTACAAACAGAACTAGGTCTGTTTTTCCACATTTTTAAGACAGTAAAATCAGGTTAAGTGTTGTACGTCATGCCAAGTGTTGTACATCATGCCGTGGATCTTTGCAAAGGGTGATGCCATAGAATACACATGCCCAAAAACATGAGACAGAAAAACAGCCCAATCAATCCAAGATGTGACCTTATCTTAATGATATAAACATGCTACTTTTATTTAGCCAAATGCCAGAGGAGATACAAAGCTGTTATTGTATCATTTGTTGTGCTCTGGTGCTGAGAGAAGTTCCTGTTTGGAGCTTTCGTTACAAATGAATGGCCATATTCAGGCTTATACTTTTCTCTGATCCCTCACTGTGTAATGTTTACAAAGCAGCTAAGGTTCAAAATAGCACTTACAGCAACATAAATGATTATTTTCAAACTAGAAGCTCTACTGTTACTAGTTGGATAACATTCTCAGTTGTGTGTTGAAGACGGTTTTAATTGGAATTGCTAAATACCATAAATATATTTTAAAAGTTGAATTCAAATTCTGTCATTTCTAAACCATTTGTCTACAGGCAATACTCTGTCTGCAAATGCATGTGATTTGGAGAAGAATTCAGATTTCAAGAGAGATACTGAAAGCTTTTTTTCATTTTTAAAGTCCGTAGTTATTACTAATTTACCTTATGTATTTCAAAATCATAATTATTCGTTGTGATTCATTTAGTCAGCTCTCCGAAACCATTGCGGAGTTTTGCTGTGACAGTAGAACAACCAGCATGCTAATGTTCACTTCCTGATTCTCTGGCAATAAAATGCTTTACAATTTGATGAAGGCCCCGGATTATTTTGACCTCAAGAGCTGCTTGTACAATATATCTGCTGGGGTAAGAAGAATATACTCAAACACATATGAAAAATACAGATCCTTTAAAAAGCCAAAATAAAATTTAAAATGTTTTATTTTTTTCAACCCTAATGCTAAGAATGAAGAATCTACAACATACCCAACACACACCCCCTCCCTCCGTCCCTACTTCAAACATGGGCCCACTCCGCTTTGCACTACAAAGCAAAACAGGCCATGCACATGTACAAGTGTGAAAATTCCTGAATAACTACCCGTGCAGCATTTTTAGCAATACTATTAAGCGCTTACAGATGTGGGAGATGTCTGAAATAGCAGGATGGGAGGTGAGGTGTACAGTTGCTCTTGCTTTTAACATTTTCTTGGAAGGCCATGTCCAATCAGCTGCCAACAAGCTCTGGCCTAGTGCCGCCTGGTAACAGACAACTCTACAGCGCTGCACTGGAATTCCAAACATTTAGTCTCATATGTTGGGGGAAAGGGGCTGATTTCCCTCCCCACCTGTGCATATTCCCCATAGCAGGAAGGAGCTGGAAGAGAGTGAAGGAATGCCGTCTAGGGTGACCACCTCAAACTGAAGCAAAAGAGGGGCAAGTGTTCATGTGGACGCTTCTGGCTCTTTCGACTCTGGCTCCAATGGACTTTACATGAGAAAATTGCCGCCCCTCTCTCTGTAACTGCTACAGTGAGCCTCGTCATTTTTGTCTTAAAATATTCCTTTTATTAACCCTCTCTACATGATCCTGGTGTTTTTATGTCGCTATTTTGTATCTAAAATAAATTCCTATTCCTAATATGGACCTGGCTCCAATTTCACCCCTTCATTTGACTGAACACTAGGGGCAACCAATCATAGTGCAAGCACTAGTTAATAAGGGGGCGTGTCCAGGTCAGGCTGTACTTCACTGCTGGAGGCTGGAATGGGAAGGTACAGGTACACATATGGTGATGACCAATCTGTGACTGCTGTGGCATTTAAAATCTCTGCCACCGTGGGTAATGTCTGCAGTCTTTTCCTCATTACCAGACAGCAAAGAGGGGTGTGGGGAAAAATTATGTATGGGTACAATAAAATGGAGCCACATGATGCAAGTATGCACCATTAGAGGCACCAGGAATATAGAAATTTGGATGGGCCGTGACAGAACTGGCTGAGTTTGTGTTCCGAACATTCTACGTGCTCCTTTCACGCACGCACACCCCTATAAGCCTGTGCACGCACATCACCCTTTTTAGTTTTCTCTGCGTTCCACTGTTCATTATGCAGCAGACCAGTGTCTATTTCAATTGCTCCCCATCGCACAGCAGACCCGCTGACCGCTGATGAGTTTCCACCGCTGCTACCTCTGACCACTCACATTTTCATCTCACAGATGTCCACTGCATTTGGTCCCACACAGGTGGATGTCTCACTGATTATGGAATACATTTATTGTCACATAAATGTTCCTAATGTTACCACTTTGCACACAGACATGGATTAAACCATTACCACAGGAGAGGGTGACTGCACGACCTACATTTGCCCTGCACAAGTGACTGATATGTGCCATGAGCGCACAGAGCAAGAGGCGCAGGTGTCTGTACAAAGCAGTGCTCATGTGCACTATACGTCTCTTAAACCACTGTACAAAGCTCTACCGAGTGCTCTACCGAACATACGAGATGTTCGTTTGCTCCACTTAATTGTCACAGCCCTGAGCTCAATGAATGCGTGCTGGGGTTACTGGGACCTCCCTGAGCAAAAAAAGCGAAGACCTGTCCACCCCCCATGAACTGGCACCCCAGGCGGCTGCCCTGTCTACCCATGCCTAGAACCACTCCTGTGTATACTTTATTGTCCCTGGAAATTTGTCCTCTGCATTTGATCCAACCTTCCATGCTAGGGGCAACCTGTCAGGAGAAGTAGGTGTGCAGCGCCAGACTTGAGCTAGTCTTTTACCTAGTGTTATACATTTTAGTTTATCTGCATATATATTACATTTTAGATCAGATCATGGGATGGGGCAAAGATAATGACACCAAGGTAAAAAAAAATAATAATAAATTGTATCAGATTGATATCATGATTCTTGCCATCGGAATCAGATTGAATAGCAATAGGTGCCAGTATATTACTTATATTACATTACAACCCTGACAGTCAGAACACTTAAAAAGTCTTGATTTCTTTGAGAGAGAAAAAAATCATGCTTGAGCAACCAAAAGAGGGACATTTGCCCACCCTAATGCCGCCAGCTGCACAGTATGGAGTATAAGTGTGAAGTGAAAAATGTACTAATATTTCTGTAATTGAACATAACAGCTGCCTGCAGCTCCAAACTTAGTTTAAACCAAAATTTTCCACAGTTTTAGACCCATTTGAACATATCAGCCACGCACCATGGAGCAGTGGACATCGGTTCCAGTTGTTAGCCTCGAGCGCCTCCATCTCTTTTAGTTAAATATAAACCAACCAGCCTCTGACGAAGTGCATGAATGCATGTGAGCTGCATACCTAGGCTATGCATTGGACGGCCTCTGTCTGGCTGTGTAATTACTGGAGTTTCAAGGTAGAATTTGACTGTTTCTTGTGCCACTTTAGAAGACTTTTAGAAGACAGCACATACGCAAGAGATGTTGATGTTGAATATAACTTGTTCCATCAGTGAATCTAGTCAGGTTTTCTAGTCTTCTAAATATGTGCATGGTGCAGATTAGAAAAGAAAAAAATACTGGAAATGGAATTTGAACAGTGGATGCCCTAGAACAGTTAGTTCTCAATTTTTTCACATGTAGGTTTACCTCCAAGGAAAATATTTGACTCTGAACTACCTGAAT